GGAGGAGACTATAATCATATAGGAGTATTTGCTGGTGTAGCTCCATTTAGTGGTTCCCAATGGAACCCCTCAGGATGCATTTGGCTCCTCCTCATGAGATAATAATTGTAAAGCACTTAGCACAGTATGGGGCACATAGCAGACACTAAATAAATGACGTTTCCTTCCTCTCTCTCTCTCTCTCACTCTCCTCACTCTCTTTTCCTTCCTTCCTTCCTTCCTTCTTTCCTTCCTTCCTTCCTTCCTTCCTTCCTTCCTTCCTTCCTTCCTTCCCTCCTTCTTTCCTTCCTTCTTTCCTTCCTTCCTTTTCTCTCCCTTCCCCCTCCTCTCCCGCCTCCCACTACAGTGACTTGCAAAGTGGATAGTACCTGATAACTGCTTTAGCATTTCCAGGATTACAGTGTGGACCCTGTGCAGCTCACATTGCTATCTACAACCTTTTAGTGTTAATTCAGTGAAGGGAATGGGGGAGAGCTCATTCATCACCTTCTTGATTCTCCCCTCATTGGCTTGATGAGGTATTGAGCAATCAGCCAACAATGCTGCAACCAGCAATCAAGATCATCCCTTGCTGGCCTGACTTTGACAGCTCAGTCAAGTCAATGGCACTGGCAGAAAGAGGGAGGGGAGGTATATATTACAAGAAATTTCAGATTGTTGTGCTACATGTCCCTAAATGTTACCAAACATGCTACATGTTACCAAACACATCTAAGAGACTGATCATGAGGAATCAGCTTCTTAGACTGTAACAGCATTGGGGATGATAGACAGATGCTTTAAAGTAGTCAAAATGTTGCCCTACTCATAGAATCATAGATTTATGGCTGAAAAGGAATGTAGAAGTCACTTAGCACAACTCCTTCATCTTACAGATAAGGAAACTGAGGCTCAGAGAGGTCAAGGCACTTGCTCAGTGTTACATAGGGAGTGCACAGAAATGAAAGGATTTGAACCTAGATCCTCTGACTCCAAATCTATCATTCCATCAATTTTAACACATTACTTCTCCAATAAAACTGGGGTTTCATATTCAACAGTGTTTAAGGGTTATAAGAATAATAACTTATAGAGCTCTAAGGTTTAAAAATATTTTATGCACATTATCTCTTTGTACCCCACAATTCTGTGAAGCAGGTAGAAAAATGTAACAGAGACATCTCTGATTTTGTACAAAGCTGTTGTTCTTGGTTGCTTGAGGCCATTGGTGAGTAAGTACTAAATGGCTTCATGCTTTGAGATGATGGGACAGTCTACTTATTGGCTGCTAAACAGGAATAACTGATGACTCAGTAGCTATTTAAAAGGGAGTAGGACCATCCTCAGTGTTCTCTTCACTTCCTGTTATGGACCATATGCAAACTACGTGAGGAGGGTATTCCCCATCCCGGCCTCCAAGCAGCACATGTCCTACTTAGGTGAGCTGAACCTAGGCTTTAGGCTGCCTCTTTTGTCTATTTTTTTTTCTTGATCTTAGGTGAACAAGTTTCTATCCTGAGATGGACACGTCCAGGCTTGGTGGCAGGGTTAGGAATTCAAGGTCCTGGGTCCTTTTGATCACTGCTAATTAGAAGCAAAGGGAATAGTTCCCATAAATGAATTCAGCTGTCTTGGAGAAGACAACCACCAACAAAAGCATTGGCCCACATCTGATCTATTTTTACCAGAAGATATAGATTAGGAGTTGTTTGGACGTACATAGCTGAGGTAAAATGTGGTGCCTGTTTGATAACCTAACAAATTTCTATGTTCTGGCAAGGTTTAAGTATCAGCCTTCTGAGAGAGTCTATCAGTAGTTATAATGAAGTTACTGAATTCTATTTTCAGTTGTTCTGTCAATGATCACTATGATCATTTTGCAATTTTTAGCATTTCTTTGTTTATGTAATAATATTTTTCTAGGACTCTTCTTCAAACAGAGCTTGAGAGGCTGACTGAACTTGGGAAGGCTTTCAGGCTCAGTGAATTTGGGATATAGCCCCTTTTCTTTTTCTTTTTTTTTCTTTGAGGTCACAAAACAAGTGGCTGTTTATTAGGGTTTTTTTCTTCTTTTCCATCATATTATTCTGCCTCTCTGGAAAGGCACGAGAAGGGGGTGGGGTATGGAGGCTGGGATTCAACCCCAAGAACACCTCAGTCCTCCCTTGTAGCCCCTTTTCTATTTGGACAAGGCAATCACCTTGTGTGCAGGCCTCATCACCTCACATCTACAATATTTCAATAGCCTACTGGTTGGTCTCCCCTTCCTCAAATCTCTTCCCACTCTAATTCATCCTTCACTGAGCTGTCAATATCTTACTAAAGTGTAGGCACAATCATATTGCCCGCCCCCAACCTCCATTCAATAAATTGTAGTTGTTCCCTATTACCTCAGGATCAAATATAAAATCCTCTGCTTGGTTTTCAAAGCCTTTTATAACCTGACTTTGTCTACCTTTCCAGTCTTCTTACACCTGAGATCCAGTGACTCCAGTAGTTTCCTTGCTGTTCCTCATAGAACACTTCATCTCCCGACCCTGAGCAATTTTATTGGCTGTCCCCCATGTCTGAAATTCTCTCTCTCCTCATCTCTGCTCCTAGCTTCCTTCAAGTCTCAGTTAAAGTCCTGTCTTTTACAGGAAACCTTTTATAGTCTTCCTTAATTTTAATGCCTTCCCTTTGTGTTTTCCCTGAATTATCGTTTGTGCGTTATCACCCCCTCTAGACTATGAGCTCCTATGAGAGCAGGGTCTGTTTTTTTTTCCTTTCTTTATATTGCCAGTGCTTAGCACAGTACTTTGCACATAATAGGCATTTAATAAATGGTAGTTGACTGACTGTTTTGGATCATATCATCTTCTGGAGAAGGTGACAACTGTCTCCTGCCTGTGAGTGCCACAGTAACTACCAGATTGTTGACAAGCTAAGCAGAAACATAGACTGCCAGAGCTAGATATGACTTCGGGTAGAGATCATTTTGTTCAACCATCTCAGTTAACAGAGGGTGAAATGGAGGCCTGGCATTTGGGGCAACAACACTTATCAGAATCCCTCTAATTTCATTCCAAGCATTTCAACCTATTTATGAAGTAGCCATAATATGGAAGTTAGACCCCATTGGCCTACTTCAAGAAGGTATAAGCAATGGGCTATCTTTGAGCAATACTATTCATGGCAAAATGGTCCCTGATATGTAAAAAATTCCTTTTGCCCCTAGTTATGACAATTCAGTCAAAAATTGGCAGATAGAAGCAAGTGTCTCAGTATAGTAAGGTGCATTTACTACTCATAAGCAAATTTACCTGAGCACCTGGATGACATTTCAAGAATGGGGGGCTGGGGCCCTTGATGTGAATGCTTACTGACTCCTTCATAGGATCATAGGACATTGAACTGGAAGGCACCTTAGATAACAACTAGTTCAGCCTCTTCATTTTACAGAGAAGGAAACTGAGTTTCAAAAAAGTTAAGTGACTTGGTCAAGGTTCCACAAGTAGTAATAAATAGAGCAGGAATTGGGACCTAGGTCCTCCCACTAATGACAAATCTAGTAGATAAATCATTACAGTATTCTGGTCAAGGCACTGACTGTCATTCTTTGTAGGGGAGGGTTCTGTGAAAGACCATATTTCTCTTAAGTATTTAGATGTTTCTAGATTCTCATCTTCCTGTAAAGAGAATTTTCCTAACTCAAAGGGAACATATATTACATAGATTCATGGCTGTAGAACTGGAAGGGTTTGGGGGGCCAACCTCCACATTTTTACAGATGAGGAAAACGGAGCACAGAGAGGTTAAGTGATTTGCATAAGGTCACCCAGTAAGTGTCTGAGGCTGGATTAGAATCCAGGTCCTCCTGACTCCAAGCCTCAGCCACTACATCATGCTGCCTCTGTTGCATTAAATATGATCTGTTTTTAAGTGAGCTTCTCTCTTCACTGCCAAGGCTAATGACAAATCTCCATCACTATCGTTTCTATTATTTTGTTCATCATCTTTACCTTTGTTTTGTTCTTGCTGGTGTAAGTGCATTGAGGATGCAGGCTGACATTCTTTCAGATAATGAGGTGATGAGCAACTTTTGCAAGTGTTCCTTCACTTCCTCTAAACTTGTAGGCACCTGCTGTTTAGTCTGGTTAAATTAGGAGAGCAGGTGAGTAGTCATTAAACACTCATTCCACAAGTCTGTGCTAATCTAGGCTGGATAAGCTGCTTCTGTTTATGCCTCTGTTTTGACAATAAGAATTCTAAACTTTTTTGTCTTTGGGATACACTACTAACATTGATTTGGCAATGCATGGTGCATGACAGGACTAAATGGTGTTTCAGGTTTCAAGCTTGCACCTTTGAGATTTGTTGATTCTGGAAAGAGCACTGGATTGGGAATCAGAGTACTGGGTTTCAATCATATCTCTGATACTATGTCACTTCCTCTCTGTGGGCCTCAGTTTCCTCATTTGTGAAGATAAGGGAGTTGGACTACATGACTTCTAAGTCTCTAAGTTCTAGGATCTTCTGAATATCTTCCTCCATTTCAAACTACCCTATAGAATAAAGCAAATCCAAATTATCTGGGCTGAGAAAACCTTCTGAAAATTTCCTTATTCCCCTCACACTGCTTGAAGATACATCAAGGAGTTACAAAATCAAGTGTTGGGCCTCAGAGCTTTACACTAAGGGCAAGCCTCTTGTAATTATTGTAACACCTCTTACAGATGTTTATTTTATGTGTTTTCATGGAGATACCTATTTGCACTGACCATAATACTTCGAAAAACTTGGATTTTGTTGCATCTAATGACACTTGAGCTTATGCTCACAATGTGTGTTTGTTTTCTAAAGTCTTACTTCTATCTCTCTACTGTGTCTCAGTCTTTCTTTTTATTCTCCAGTGAAAACACTGCATTGAGCTTATTAAAAGCTCCAGTTTACACCTGGACCAGGAGACTGAACATAAGACCATTCCCAACTAATGAAATGGGGTCTCATCATAGACAACAACCAATGGGGGAATTACTCACCTGCGGTGTGTAAGGAAACTACCACTGACGTGTCCTGAGCCATCACATCCTGGAGTGGGACATGACATACCTTCCGTCTTCACTGACTTCCAAGAGAACTGGGAGCCATTTAAGTACCCATCCTTTTGCCTTTTGGCTGCTAGAGGGCACCCTGACGCACTGCGGTGGGATGCATACTTTCCAGTTATATGACCCTGACCATCACAACCAGGAACTGGACATCTGGATAGCAGATAGATGAGATAAACTTTACTGTCTTGCCATCATATACCTGGTAGCCTCTACAACAAAGTCAAAACAACCTGACATGAAAAAAAAAAAGAACAATCATGCTCTACGGACTCAAAAAAAAAAAAGAAAGAAAGAAAGAAAGAAAGAAGAAAAAAATAATAAAGTGAAATCAACAAAGACGCCACCTAGTGGAATCATAACTATATCAGCTCATAGCTGGAGAGCTCTTGGCTGATGAAAACCCTCATACTTAGAAAGTAGGAGATGGACTCCAGCTTAGATGCAGACTTGAAAATTAGGCTGATTTCCTTTTGGAAAGACAGGTTTTTTTTTTTCAAAAGCTCTACTTTGGAATGGATTACTGGTCTTTAGAAGGGGACAATGTAAAATTCACAGGGGATCTTGTTTAGTCTCATTATTTTCAGCTTGAACACTGAATGGGATTAAGTTTTAAATGAGAAGAAAAACTGTGCTTTTGGCATTAACATTTAGGATATCCAGGGGGCAGGAGCTGGAACACTTGCTTGGCCACTTTATGTTTCCTACAGAACACTAGTGTATTGTTAGCCAGAATACAGCCTTCTAGTTAAATGAGACACCCTGCAGCATTTCTATCACAGCTGATGTCCAACTATGGGCTGATGCACCACAATAGCCTGAGGCTTGTCTGATGTCCAATTCTCAGTATAAATCTAGACTCTAGAGAACATTCACCCAACATGTCAATGAACTTTCTCATAATCTTATGATCACATCTCTCCTGACTGATTTGGCAAATAAAACTGTTTACACTTTAAGGGAGGTAGCAAGCCATGTAATCTATTAATAAAAATTAAATCACATGTAGCAAAAAGTAATAATAGCTGGCATTTGTATGGTGTATTTTGGTTCACAAGGCATGTTTACATAACTTCTTATTTGATCCTCACAATACCTTTGAGAGCTAGGTACATCAGCTGATAACACTATATAGGTGGCACAGTGGATAGAGTGCCAGGCCCAGGGCCAAGAGGAACTGAATTCAAATCTGGCCCCATATACTTACTAGCTGTGTGGCCCTGGGCAAGGCACTTAACTTCTATTTGCCTCAGTTTCCTCATCTGTAAATGGGGATCAGAATAACACACACCTCCCAGGATTTTGCGAGGGTCAAATAAAATAATTGTAAAACTCCTACTACAGTGCCTGGCACACAGTAAGCACTATATAAATGTGAGCTATTATTATTTTACAATTGAGGGACATGTTTTAATAATAATATAGCATGACGTAACAACAATAACAATAATAGTTTGATTTAAATGTCACTTTAAGGTTTACAAAATGCTTCACAAATTTTATTTCATTTGATGTTCACAACAACCCTGGGAGGTAGGTGCTATCATCATTATCCCCATATTACAGATGGGGTAACTGAGATTCAGAGAGGCCAAGTCACTTTGACAACAAGGTCATATAACTAGTAAATATCTGAGGTACGATTGAAATTCAGGGCTTCTTAACTCCAGGTCCAGCCTTCTTTCTTGAAGGTCACCCTGCCTGCCTCTCCATCAGACCTGTGAGAGCAATGGATCTGCAGTCAGGAATCCTGGGTTCAAAGCCCAGCTCTGCCACTTCCTACCTGGGACCTCCCTGGGCAAGTTATTTCACTTCCCTATACCCAGTTTTCTCATCTATAAAATGAGGAAGTTGGACCAGATGTTATCTAAGAGTCCTTCCAACACTGAATGTCTTATCCTCTCACCAGTCCTGTGTCCTGGGGTATGATAAATATCAGACAAACCTTCAGGGTTTTCTGATGAACATTAACTTTCTGTTGGACATTAGCTGTAATATCTATTTCTTTGTTGATTCTTCTAAGGTTATTCTCTTACTCTGCTCTTGACTTTGAAACAAACTTTCTCTCACCTGTTCACTAAATATTTAAAAGGATGGTGTAGCTGCTAGTTTATTTTGCTGATGGCCACTCCCGCTTCGGTGACACTCTTTGGACTGCCTGATCTTAACAACTGTGAAATCTGTATCTTTCCAATGGATCTACCAGGTCTTAGCATTCCACTTACCTAATGGGCTCTTGATCCTCTTTGTCTTCTTTGCTTTGTGCTATCCTGATTCCACTTTTCTTTGCTCTTGGACAACCTGAAAGACTAAACAAGAAGGAAAGTCTCAGAAATCGATCCCCTACCCTTTGTGCACTACACCATCTTCAACATCGTTGCTTGAATTGGACTCTTTGGAGAGTCCTTTGTTCAGGTGCTCTGTATCCCCTAAAGACATGTGGCGTTGGTCTGTCACCTTCACAGGAACATAAGAAAAGGAGACCATTTTACCCTGGGTCTGCCTTTGAAGCTGTGAACTGTCTTCCAAATTTGGGCTGATCTGAGTATATATACTCAGAGGCTGAGACTGCTGGCCACAAGAGAAGGACTAATAACCAAACAAAGAAATCACACAATATAAAAAGGGGAAGTTTCAATGCAGGTTCAATTTTAGAGTGTATGGATAACAGCCTGGGAAACTTCTATTCTTATGAGTTCTGTTATTTACTAGCAATGTGAACTCTCTGGCCCTCAGTTTCCTTTCCTGTGAAACTGATGGAGCTAGAATAAATTAGAGGCTTTAAACTTGGGCTTCATCAACTTGGGTTTTTTAAAAATGATATTTTGGTGACTGAACTTGAATATAATTGGTTTTCTTTGTAATTCTGTATATTTTATTTTATGCTTTTAAAAACTATTCCAAGAAGAGGTCCATAGGATTCAACAAATTGTCAAAGGGGTCCATGACCTAAAAAAGGTTATGAATTCTAAGACTCGATGGTCTTAAAGGCCCTTTCCAACTGTAAATCTTGTGAAAAGTATGAGACAGGTGAGATGAGCTAGTACCTAGGGTGAAAAGCCCATAATCTTTTGTCATTCCATCTTTCTCACTGCCTCACAATTCCTAACCCCTTAATTCATCCTCACTGTGACCTCAGTTGATGTTTCGCCTTCCTTTCCTCTCACTTCTCTCCTCTGACACTGCCACCACCCTGGTGCAGTCTCTCATCACCTCATGCCTGTGCTATTGCAATAGCCTGCTGGGTGGTCTCCCTGTCTTTATTCTCACTCTGGTCCATCTTCTTCTCACCTAACAAAGAGATTTTCCTGAAGTACAAGTCTGACTATGACACCTTCCTCCCACCACTCATTCAATAAAACTCTACTGGTTCTCTGTTACCTTCAGAATCAAATCTAAAATTCTTTGCACGGCCTTTAAAGCCCTTTCCGGTCTGACTTTTTCCTACTACTCCAGCCTTCTTATACTTTCTTCCCTTCCATGTACTCTATTGACAATGGCCTTCTCACTGTCCCTAACACAAGACACTCAATCTCCTGACTCCATGCATTTTCACTGGCTGTCTCTCATGCCTAGCCTTCTATTCCTCCTTGTCTCTGTTTCCTGGCTTCTTTCATGTCTCAGCTAAAATCCCACCTTCTACAAGAAGCTTTTTTAAACTACCCCTTACTGCTAGCACTTTTCCTGAGATTACCTCCAAGTTATCCTGTCTATATCTTACTTGTACAGAGTTATTTACATGTTGTCTCCCCGATTAAACTGTGAATTCCTTGAAGGCATGGATGGGTTTTACCTATGGTAGGCACTTAATAAATGCTGGCTGACCTGAAGCATACTGATATACTGAGGTAGAGATAAGATGCTGAAGGAAGCACATTAACAGATATTTTTGGCTTGGGTATATGGATGAAGAGGTGAACAGGAAAGGGAGAGTAGGAATTTAATGGAAGCATTGCAGGGATAAACCTGGGATCTTATATATAGAGGGCCCCCATGGATATTCTGGAGCCAGATCACACTAGTTTGTTGATTATTAATTTTTTTATGTGACCATTTATATTACAGACAAACACTATAAATCTGAACAGGGCTTATTTATTGTTTTGTAGATTGTCTAGATAGAAGAAAGTGAACTATTAATGATGTAGATTAAACTTGAAGGTGTGAGTGGTGCACTTTTTTTTTTTGAGAGTCAGTTGTTAAACATTTACCAGCACTCCGCTTCCCACCCCACCTCCCCCCAGTGGAGGACTGGTTAATCAATGATAGATTTGTTTCTTTTATGCTTCAAAATAAATAGGGTACAAAAACTCATATTAAATTATGTGTTTTTTTAAATTCTGAAATAAATCTGTTTTGTCCCAAGTTATTTTGGGGATAAACTTTAATGATTGCTACTATGGCAAAGATGGTATTTTCACCTTTACTACAATCAACTAACAAATATTTCATAATTTCCTATTATATACCCAGTACTATGCTGGGTGCTGGAGATAAAGAGACAAAAAAGGGAAACAAACTGCTCCTAAGGAGTTTGCCTTATATTGAAATATTTATAGAGGTGGCTTTACCCTCTGCTGATGCAGAATTTTCATGTCTCCCACGTACTGGGCTTTGGTGTTCTCCAGGAGGAGGACAAAACTTTTTGCTCCTTCCTTTTTTTTTTTTTTCCCCATTTACCCCTATCCAATTCCTTAATGACTAAGTTGGCTTGGCATTAAGCAGACTACATGAATGAACAGCACCACAGTGGAACTGTAGTTTGGTCTTAATCACATCTCTTCCATGAGTAGGGAGCAAAAAGAGGCTTCTAATCAATATTCCCCCTTCCCCCAATTTTTTTTACAGCTAGATGACACTATGAATAGAATGCTGGAGTCAGGAAGATCTGAGTTCAAATCCTGCCCCAATCACTTAATAGCTATATGATTTTTGCTGGGGCATTTAATCTCCATCTGCGTTATTTTCCATATACATGGAGTATGTATATATCTATATATGTATGTATATGTATATTTGTATATATCAATATCAAAATATATCTATATCTATGTCTATCCATCTATCTATATATATAAAATGGGGAAAATAACAGCACCCTCCCAGGGTTAATGTGAGAATAAAATGAAGTATTATTTGTAAAGAACTCTGCAAAACTTCATGTAACATATATATGCTATTTTTTTCTTTTTTTCTGGATCACTAATGCTAGTTTGTTTGTTGGTTATAAATCTTACAACAATCCTGAACCTTCCTATGATTTTCATTTTCTTATGGGACAAAGAATTAGGGACAATTTTTTTGGGGGGGGAAATACCACATACTTATAAGATTTTTTATAATGAAATTATTTGTAACACAAAGATCGCCAATCTAGAGTGTCTATACAACCCCCTCTTTGGGCTTGTGTAACTACTGGCATGAAACAAGAGGGGGAGAGTAGAGAGTCATATATGTACCTTTCCTCACATCTTCCCTTCATGTTTTAGGTAGTCATTGGATTAGCACTGAAGTTCCTTCTAATTCTGGGACTCCAATCAGTGGGTCAAGAGAAGTATAAAGGGCACTGTTACCACCTCCCTCTCCTGCTCCAGAGTGGAGACAGTAGCAACAGCTAGTTGTCAAGAAAAGGCTGAGTAGGAATAAAACTGTCTGAATGTGTCCATTTCTCTCCTCCCAGAAGCTCAACTGCTCTGGAAGATTCCATTCCTGACAATAGGGGAAAGAAAGGGTAGGAATGATGAGGGTGTGTGTTTTTGTTTATAACCACAGAATGATGTGGCTACTAGGTATTTGGGCTAAACCAGGAGAAGGGGGCTTCACAATTAAGTTGCTGTCCAACCTTTTACCATTCATTTTCCTAGTCTTAATCTTAATTTTCCCCATCTGAACAATGGGAGGATTGTACTAGACTATCCTGAAGGTAGCTTTGGTTTCTAATAATTCCATGATTCCAGAATACCATTACACCCTATGTTCATAAGGGTGAACTTCTATATAATTAAGCTCTGTTTTAGAATGACTTGGCTCAAGGTAACCATGTATTGGACTGAGAATGAAAAAAAAATACATTCTCTGCAATACTTTCTATACTGCTTACTCATAAACAGAAATGAAACTCATGACAAAAAAGAGGAAAGCTATGTAAAGAAACATAGAGGCTTAAAGATTTTAAATTATAGTTTTAAAGATTTTAAAATTAACAACTTGTATGGAAGAAGAGCATGGGGCAGCTAGGTGGCACAGTGGATAGAGTGTTGGATCTGGAGTCAGGAAGATGAATCTTCCTGAGTTCAAATCTGGTCTTAAACACTTACTAATTGTTTTCTCATCTAAAATGAGCTGGAGAAGGAAAATGGTGAACCACTCCAGTATCTTTGCCAAGAAAACCCCAAATGGGGTCACAAAGAGTTGGACACAACTGAACATTAATTTGCTTTGTTAGAATTAGAATTATTGATTTCCTCAATAGGGACAAGAGGAAGATCAAAGAAATTATAGGAAGAATTGAATGGAAGAATGATAATATCTTATAAAGAGAAGGCAGAACTACTCAACATTTATTTTGCTTCTGTTTTTTTCCCCTACCAAGTAGAAAGATTTTTGGATGAGAAAAGATGGAACAAATGGTTACAGTGATTTGAAATACAAGGTAAGTGAGAAGATGGTGACAGAATACTTAGGTGTCATCAATTAATTCCAATCATGATCCCCTGAAATACTATATCCTAGGATCCTGAAAAAATTGGCAAATGTGCTGGCTAGGCTTCTATCAGTGACTTTTGAAAAACTGTAGAAAACAGAGGAGGCACCTAAAGATTAGATATGGGCAAATGTATTAATTTTCAAAAAAAAAAGAAGAGGGAAGATTTCTCAACTTTTAAGCTAGTGATCATGACTTTGATTCCTGGCTAAAAGTCTATAATTTGTTATTAAATGAATTTGTCAAAGGGAAACATTGGTCACAAAGAACCAACATAGGTTTATCAAGAATAGGTGAATTTGTTTTACCTTAGACTAGACATTCCATCTCCCAACAGAGCATTTTCACACGCTGTCCCTCATGCCTCAGTCTCTCTCCCTCTTCATCTCTGTATCCTGACTTCCACAGCTTCCTTCAAGTCTCAGCTAAAATCCCTTCCCCAAGAAGCTTTTCCTGGATTATTTAATGCTAGTGCCATCCTTTTGTTGATAACCTCCAATTGGTCCAGTCTATATCCTGTTTGGACTCATTTTGCATGTCATCTCCCCCATTAGACTGTGAGCTCCTTGAGTATAGGGCCTTTTTTTTAAAAAACTTTCTTTGTAT